CTCTGCCAAGTCTGATGTGCACAATATCATTGTGACACTGCCGTGAGGTGAGTCTGGCTGCACTGATAGTCACTGAGAGACAACAAGAGGAGGCCTCATAATATCAATATATCAAAGAGGAGAAGAAAAGTATTTGAAGAAAAGATATTTGAAGCAATTTTTTTTAAGAGGCTGACCAATCAGTTTCACAATTATTTAAAATAATGCATTGCTCTGAACTAATACTGTAATTTTAACACAGGTATAATCACTGTAAATGACATTAAGAGCTTGTCTACAGGCAAATTGCATTGCTTTGGTTATAATGGGATTGTTGAAGCTCAGCAAATCCCCAAGCCAGATATGGTTGAAATCACAGAAAGGGAAGGAAAAGAAGTTATTCCAAAACCCTAAACCATCTTGGGCTTGCACTGACATGGCTTTTTCAGTCAAAAGAACTCCTAGCTAACCAAAAGGTTTGGACTTGAAGGAAAGCAAGGGATATACCACCCCAAAACATGGAACTGTGAAGGCACCAATGCTGAAACTCTGGTACATTTAAGCTTGCAAGAGAATCTTGAGCCAGTGCCATTAGTGTTGCCTTTTAACAGTCCTTCCACAAGGCTGTACAGCAGCTTGGGAAGAGGAGACTGGAACACGCCAAAGTGCAAGGGGTGGCTTTGCAGAATTCAGACTCCTGACACCTGGCCCAGCAGAGCTCCAGAGGGTGTCTGTGCCAAGTGACATGGCCAGCAGGGACCTGCAGAGGTGACGCTTCAGATGTGCTGAAGACCTTTTAATAATAGCCTACAAAACCAGTGGAGAGAAATCTCTCACCTTGAAAAGTTACAAGAATTCTGATCTGACAATCCAGAACCTGTGTTTGTTTCCCTTTAACTCCTAAAGAAAGTGGAAAATAGAAAGCCAACAGCGAAAGGTACAGATGAACAGCCAAGAAAAAAGGAATTGCAGCACACAGCAGTTCTTAGAATGAAAATTCCGTAGTCAGGCTGATATCAGTTCCATTGCAGGAGTTTGAGGATGTTCCCTCAGACTCCCCTTGCTGCCCCTCAGGTCACACAGGGAGGGCATCCCTGGGCACGGGACAGGGGTGCAGCCTCAGTGCCAGCAGGTGTGTCAGGAACACAGCGGTGAGTTTTGGATCAGAATTGATGCCATGGGAAACACCCTGTTCTGCAAACACTTCCACCAGGTCAGTGGGAAAAGATCTAAAAGTCCTGGCCACTGAAGCTCATGGCAAAATTCCCAACTATTTAAGTGGGAACAGAAGAGAGTTCAGACCAGTAACTACCTGCACCAGTTCTGTCTCCAAAGGTGAAAACTAGAAATGAGAAGTGACCTAAATATTCAGAAATTACTTAGTGACTGTTAGCAAGTCTATTTTTGAGTGGGTAACTGTAAACTCCTCAAAGAAACTTGATCACCAGAGATGAAGCTTTAACAAGGCAGCACCTTCTAATGGATTTCAGTTAGAGGCACATAGAACCACTAATCACATCAGTGAAAAACTGGGTCAAAGTTAGCCCCATCTTCCCCAAAGTGATGTAAGATTAGATTTAAGTGTATATATATTTAAATTAATATTTAATTATATATTTATATATAATTTTGTATTCTACTTAACAGAGATGGCAAACTACAGTAGTGCTGAGACCTTTTTGGATGGTATTCACTAAGGGACAACAGTAAAAATACCATCTACGGGGCATTTTTTGATAAGTCCACTTTCAGCCCTGTTCTCAATAGATAAAAAATCTATATTAATTAGTGAGTCAAAAACCCCTCTACAGTTCCTAACACACTGGACAGAGACATGGATATTTTGTACCTGTTAATAAACACATATAAGATGCAACATGGATGTAAGCAAACACATTGATCTGTTATTTGTGGCTGCACAGATCTGTAAACAAGAAAATAGGGATAAATAAAGATATATTATTTTCCACTGACATTTCCAAGCTGCATCATTTATTTTCCCACATGTTCACATGAGAAGTCTTAAATTCAAGGCAGTTTGGCACAGAGTGCCATCAGAGGACAGCCCCTCGTTCACGGAGCCCCGCGTTCACTGTGAGCTGTGCTCTCGGACTGCTCCAGCAGCAGCTGGTTAAGGTTCCATTTTCAGATGTTGTTCACCACTAGTGCCTAAAGGTGACATGCTCACTAAACAGGCCTGCTGCAAACAATACCAGATAAGACATAAAAGCCATATTGGATTACCCAGTCCACATCTCCAAATGCAACAAAAATAAATGCCAAATGCTGGGGGGTTTCGTCGCTTGCAGCATTCAGCAGCCTTTCCATTATGCATTGCCTGATCCTTTGCCAGATTTCTTAAGGAAAACCAAGAGCTAGGATGAATAGGAAGAGCTTGTCTGTGGTCACACTGCGGAGCTGGGAAGGCAGAGCCTGCTGTTCCACTTGCCCTAACGCCTCACTTGGCCCTTCCTTCCTCGCTCTACCCACTTTTCAATATGAGCCTCCTGCTCATGCAAGTCTTACAGATAACAATGATATCAGTGTTATTAGGCTTATTAACTAGCCTTAATGCTAGCAGTAAATCCAGGATCCCAAAAGTGAACTGGGACTCCTGGGAAGGGGCAGCATCCCCGTGCAGAGATGTGGAACACACGGAGTTGCACAGGTGTGCTGGGAAGAAGCATTTCTGAATATTTCCCAGATGATAAGGACTAGTAAAATGATGAGGATCGCTGCCCTTCCGTGAGTGCTGCAGAAATCATTCAATGCTAAGAAGGTATTCTGCAGTGGAGAAGAGCTAGTACACACTTCTGTTGTAAATAATAGCTTCCTAATTCCCAGTACGAGTATGTTGGTAACAGCTCCTCAGACAGCTGGGCTGGGAGACAATGTGAAGCAAACCCAACTAGATGAGTTTCATTTCCTTTTGGTGAGGAATTACACTTTACAGTTCCACTACACGACTCCACGTGTTGGCTTTGAGCTGCCAGCTCCTCAGGGCAAGGTTTAAATTAGGTCCTCTTCTATTTTTAAATTTTTTTCTTTTTTTTTTTTTTTTTTAAACCAGGAAACTATTTATATTCATTTCAAGCTTTATAATCTGCTCCAACCCACTGTTCAAAAATAATAAACAAAAGAATACCCAAAGCTAAATGTTTGCTCTAAACCCCTTTTGCCAGCCTCCTGTTTAATCAGCCTTGTGGCACATTGGAAAACAGAGTATTTAGTTCCACTTCATTATTATGGAGGTAAAAAAAATCTTACACTCAGGCTTAAAGCACCCAAATACCTAAAGCCATATTCTAATCTGCATTGCACAGTGGTGTAGAACAGGCAGGCAATTTTCATTTCCTTGGGGCAACACGGTTCATGGTGACTGGTAGGGGCTCTCTGTGTTCCATCAGCCTTTTTGAGCACCTCCCAGGTGTGTTCAGCCGCCCTTGCTGAGACAGGGAGCGGACTGTGTGCAGTGATACATCAGGTTATTGGACACGTGGGTGTCAAGGAGGGCATCAGAGGGACTAGGGCAAGGAAATCTGAAATTAGCAATACATAGAGCTTAGCTGAAATTAGCAGGAATTTAGCAGTGCTGCAGTGAAAGGCACCCGCAATCAAAGCAAGGAGTTTTACCCTTCATATGTGTTGCAAAATCCTCCCTTACTGCCTATCCAGGGGCCTGTTCACAGCAAGGATTTGGGACACCAGAGAAAAGAGGGCCAGGAGAGATTCTAACCTGGAGAAGACTCTCATCTCATCCTCTTGTGGTAAAAATCACCACAAAATTCTGTGGTGTAAGACATTTAGGAACAGGATTCCACAACCTCTGAGATGGTATCTGAGTGGACTGAATTACAGATGGTCATTCCAATTGTCTGGTCCTTCAGCAGGTTTTCAAATGGCATCTGAGAATGTAAGATTGTTGATAACTGAGCCCCAAATTACATTAATGACAAAGTGATGTCATCTTTGAACTCATTTGTGTTTGGTTCTTTCACATGTTGTTCATCAACATTCTAATATAAAAACAAACAAATGTAAATACTGCCTGATGATGCTGGTAAAAATAAATCATCAATAGAGAATGAAAAATTAATTACAGTAGAAAAAAAAAATCTCTGGGGAAGGACCTATCTGGAACTTTCAGTTTTGAAATATGTAAAGCTGACCATTCCTTTCTCTGTCTTTTCCCTCTGACTGGCCACTGCCTTCATCAATGCACTCAACTACATTAATTCCTGCCCTTAGGAAGCTGATACGAAATCACACTTCTGCTGGTCCAAGAAGATGGAGGTATTCTAAAAGCAGTCATGCTAAAATATAAGAAAAAAAAGACAAAATCATAATTCTTTTATATTTCACAAAAAAAAATTGAAGACAAGATAAAGAAGCAGTTCTGGACCTAGAAAGCAAGCAAAACCTTGTTATTTTAAGTTGTTTCTCAAAATAAGCTTGTTCGTTGTGTACTGCTCAGAGATAACAGGCAACCTTGGGTTGCTGGCGTAGCTGTGTGAGCACGTCCCAGTGAGGGCAGAGCTGATGCACAGCGTGGGGCTCCTCCACGTGAGCACGGTCAGTCGGGGATTACCCTGCCCGCTACTGGGCGTCTGTCCTCTCGCTCATAACCAAAAAGTTGGCCTAATAAAGCTTTTTCTCTCTCCAAGTTCCCTTGGACTGGGAGAACCTCTCCTCTCCCGTGCCGGCAGAAGGGCCGGCCAGCCGAGGAGGGGGGAGATGACCAGCGGGGGGCTCGGGGGGCGAGCAGGGGATGTCTGGGGGTCGGATCGCTGCGGAGGTTGCGGGCAGTTTGCCGGCCACAGGCTGTCCTCGCCCGCTGCAGCCCCCGTGTGTGCAGGGCTCAGAGGAGCAGAGGAGCTGCACAAGGAGAGGCTGATTTGAAACACAGACACGTAAGCACGGCGGAAACCCCACCTCCGTGGGATGGTCTGCGAGGGATCCAACGGCAGCAACGCCACAGACAGACACACTCCTCCCAGCGTAATTGTGACTATCGCAGCTGTGGCGGAGGAGGGCGGATGATGCAAGGGCTTGGCATCACGCTCAGCGATCGCCACACTGCCGAGGGAGGCAGCGCTGGGACCCACCGACCGCCCGGCCCTGGCAGCGGGTGCGGCGCTGGGACCGCGCAGCCCCTCGGTGTGTGCGGGGATGGGACCGCGCAGCCCCTCGGTGTGTGCGGGGCTGGGACCGCGCAGCCCCTCGGTGTGTGCGGGGATGGGACCGCGCAGCCCCTCGGTGTGTGCGGGGCTGGGACCGCGCAGCCCCTCGGTGTGTGCGGGGCTGGGACCGCGCAGCCCCTCGGTGTGTGCGGGGATGGGATCACAGAACCCCTCGGTGTGTGCGGGGATGGGACCACAGAACCCCTCGGTGTGTGCGGGGATGGGACCACAGAACCCCTCGGTGTGTGCGGGGATGGGACCACAGAACCCCTCGGTGTGTGCGGGGATGGGACCGCGCAGCCCCTCGGTGTGTGGGACTGGGACCACAGAGCCCGCAGGGACGCGGGATGATCAGCATCGCTCAGCATCGGCATCTGGGGCAACCCTGGGCACGTTCGGCCTCCCACTCTACCAGCACAGTTTATCCAGCAGCTGTGAGATTTACTCCACCACCATCGGCTCTTAGTTGCTTCTCTTCAGAGCTCATTACAAAGAGTAATTAAATGGTCATAACATCCCCAGTCTTAACCCTATTTAGTAGATAAAGTGGATAATTAAGCACTTTTAGCTCGGTTTTGCCATGGAAACTGGTGAGAGAGGCTAACACAAGGTCACAGGGCCAGTCTGAGTCAACTCAGGATTATAGTACATCAGTTACTGTCTCATTCATCCAAAAATGCCAAGATATTTCATTGACTTTAAGGAGTTATAGATCAAAACTGCTATTCCTGCCTCATCACTGAGAAATCTAACATAAAGAAGTATTACATGATTTAATGAAGAGAGCATCTGAGAACTTGAAATGAGCACAGGTATGTATTCCATCTGCCAGGTGAGACAACACCATCTCTTTTAAACACCATGCTTGATGTAGCTAATTGTCTCATATGCATATCCTTGTACTCACATATAATGAAGCAATGAGATGTGACCAATCTGATACCCAGCCTGTGAAAATGAGTTTTAAATGTCATTATTTGTAGTTGCCCAGGTAGAACCACAAACCCCTGACAGTCATTCTCTGTCAGTTTGTCACGTGTGTAGCTGCAGTGACAGCTCTGAGACGTTGACCAGGCCTCTCCCCTGAGAGCACCTTCCCCGTGCTGCCCGTGAGTCACTGGGCTGTCTCCTGCAGGCTATAAATGGTTCCATTCCTATAAACTATTATCTCACTTTCAGCCAGTCCGTTTGCTTCATTCTGAAGTGTTTATTTTGCCCTAATTGCCAGTCTAAAGGTGGAATGCTATTTTCAGCCTATGAGATGTCTGAAGTGAGATGAATTTTGAAATACTCCCCTTCCCCTTGTTTTTCTAATACCTTAGTACTTAACACAAGGTGCTACAAATGGAAGACCTCTATTTGTTCACAACATTTGAATAAAACTGACAAATATTCTCTACTTACATGTCTCAACCAGATTTCTTTGGAGTGGAAAAGACTTCAAACCCTTTTAGCTTCGCTCCTATGGCAGACCAGTAAGGCTTAAAAAGAGACCATGTTCACTGGGTGTAGGGGCCTCCAGAGAGCCACCTCTGGGGACCACGACTGCCCAACAAATTCTGGGGTAATTTGAACAAGCAGCTTCACTGGGCCATCCCATCTCCCTGATCCAGATTGTCTTCCAAAGCTTTCTTAGGAAATCCATGATTATACCCACGTAATCACAACAAACCTTGAATCTCGTACTTCCATTTAAACCTATGGAAAATTTATACAGAGGCAAAGAGTGGGAAAAGCAGACCCACTAAATAATGTGTAGATAATGAAGAACATCTTACATAACACACTAAGGTGAAAAAGCCTTTAAAAGACAATTGCCTTTACAGAATGTTGAATCAGTGTAAAAAGCAGAGTTTGAAAACTGCCTTTATATGTAAAAGTCTTGATGAGAACTGAGTGGAGGGTCATTTCTTGCCACGTAATTCATGTATAACCAGGCTTGATCGACCTGTGCCATGATCCCAGTACCAGACATAGGCTAACATTCCCTAAATTGAGTCCATACCGCAGTGCAGTTCAGAGGTCAAATGACTTGGGTAGCTTCTTTCTCATGTGGACAGACCCACTGCTCACAGTGCAGCACAGCTCTGTCTGAGGCACAGAGGAAGTGCCAGAAAAGAATAACATTGGAGATACCCAAAAGATTTAGGCAGTTTTACTGCTTAAAAGCCACCCCAAAAACAACCAACCAAAACAACGCAAAGCAAGGTCTCAAAAAGCCCAGAGTTTCTAGAGAAATGGAAGGCAGCTGGAGCTGCCGCAGGGACAGCACTGGTGATACAGGGATGGTCCCTCTCCCGGTTGCAGAGCCGCCTTCCCGCTTGGCTCCAAACCAGTGTCATTGTTAATTGGATGCTGAGTGATGGATCTGGCCACCTGGCACTCTGTCTGGCTCCAAGCTGATGATCAACTCACTTGGCAGGCTAAGTGGGGAACTGGCCACCTGGCTAATACGGGGGCTACAGACCCTCTGCTGAGCTGACCGCCACCCTGCTCAGACATTTTCTGATTGTGGATACCAACAGCCACTTCTCTCTTTTGCTGTGTTTTCCTCGCCCATCACAACTGGTATGCTCACAGCCAAACACCCAACTCATGACCCCCTCCTCTCTTTCTTTCCTTCTGTCTGCTATGACGGATAAAGATGGAATCCTGCCTTAATTGCTAAATGGGAATAAAATGAGCTTCTCGCCTTCTCCTGCAATTTCTTTAAATTATTCCAAGTTCCCTACCCCCACTCCATCCTGTTTTGCTTCTCACCATCATTCTCAACACTCCAGATTAAAATGTGTATTAGTTGTTGAGTTTAACAACATTTTTTGAATGGAGTAGTTTATTGACTATTTTTTAATTAGTAAAAATACTGATAAATTAAGAATAACATCAAAACAAAGAACTGGATAAGAATGCTATGAAAGCAGACTCATGCCTGAAGGCAAGATTCTCCACTTGCTTTGCACCCTGTTCTATTATTAGCACTTACAAAACCTTAGTGAGAAAGGCCACGATTTTGATTTGATTTTTTTTACATTCATTTTGCATATATGTAAATTACTCCACAAGAAACAAGGCAATGAAATGAAGAATGAAGTGCACAAAAATAAATCAGTACAGGATTCTAGAGTGCTGTCAGTGTCACCCAGTGAAACCACTGAAGTTCTGCTACGAAAATTAATTTTACTACAAGACCTTAAAGGACTTAATACAAGTCCTCAAATTTTCTACTCCATTTCCAACGTGCCATGAGGAGGTTCCACAGTGGTTTTAAGCTGGTCTTGGGATACAGTAAGTAGATAATGTCAAGCTCTTACACCCATTACGAATGATCTGAAAAGAACGTACTTTGCTAATTGCAACCTTTGCACAGAAATGCCATCACTGGTTGGAACAGGGCTGTATTCACTGCTTTGACTGCGTTCTTTAAACTGAAGATCCAGCAGCCTTTACTCTCCTTTACCTAGAGAGCCTCCACCAATCCATTTACTGCCAATCTTCATATGAGTTTACGGGTGAGACAGGAACCCACACACCAAACCACAACCACCACCAGCCACCGAAGGAAATTCCTTGCCCTCCAGAAGCCTCCTCCCGCAGAGCAGCATCACTCCCCTCCGCAGTCACCACACCGGCTGTCTCCCAGATCACCCCACTGCTCCCTTGGGACGTGGGGACCAAAGGCTTTGCCAGGCACCTGGCTCTAAGCACTCCTGCTGACCTGTCTGATTTCCAGCAGCCTCCATGAGCCCTTGGCAGCTGCTCTGGGAGCAGTGTCTCACCACTGTTGGACTGCAGAGCCCTCACTGCTCAAGGTTTACACTACAGAGGCTCCTGCTTGCTTATTTGACTCCACTTCTCCATTCTGGCTTTACAGCCATGTGTAACTCCATTTTGCAACCCTTCATGTCTCAGAGCTCACATGAACACTGCACTAACAATATTAAAAAAGAAAATCCAGTAATTTTAGCTGATTTTTAGTTTCAGGACTCTAAATGCCGGGCTACAAGAGACTCCCTTGTGCTCCCTGACTGTATCAGAGCTTGAATTACCAAGTCATTAGGTAACAGCTCACTGGCACAGGCTCCTGCCAGTGCATTCAGCGGGCTCAGCTCTCCTGAGCTCAGTGCTTTCCATTTTTCTGCCTGGCAATGCATCCCTCCAGCAAGGACCCACATTATTTTTTAATCTTCAGTGGGTAAAGGGCTGCTGAACACGTACAATTGCCATTTCCAAGCGTGACATTTAACACTGCTGTTTTATTTTCCCCATCTTAGGTGCCAGTGGAACACTTGTTGCTGTTTGCTAACAGGCTTTGAAGACTTCCAGGTGTGTACAAGGATAATGGAAATTGTGGGGCAAGAGATTTATTACAAAGCCTCAGCATCCAGTGTTATCTTAGGAAAGCCGTGTCCCTCTCTGTTATAGCTGTCCCTGCTGATACCAACCCCAGCTGGAGCTGAGGGCCTGTAAGCACCTCAGTTTCAGTGCCCTGTAAAAGGTTGTTTTTCCTGAACTGGTCTGGCAGCCCCAGACTCTGTGCACTCTAACTCATACAGTATTGTAAGTAATGACAGATAACGCTATCAAGGTCTTTTCCTAGAATATAGGGATTAACTCACCTCATTAAAATGTATACATTTTGCACAGCATAATGCAGGACTACTTCAGGACAACTATTTTAGAGATATTATGTTCTATGAGAATGTTGTGGTTTAGGAATGATATTAAAAATTAACCCTGTCCTGACCAGACCCAGGACAGAGAACTAGGATGATCTCTAGCTGTCCTCTACTTCCCTGCATTCAGATTTTTGTCATCTTTTTTACATGAGTACATAGTTTTCATAACACTGAGCACTTTTAAAAACCTAAAATAGAACACATTAGCTTAAATTTCTAGGTAGTAAAGAAACTCGAGAGGAGAGAAACATAATTAACTTGGAGCATGGGAAGATTCCCTTGTGGGAGAACCACCCTGAACTAAAAAAAGTGGTTTGTACAAAGTACATAATGGTGAACACACAGAACCTGGCAGGTTACACGCTCTGAAGGCTGATGTCTCAGGTTGAAGGTGGAAATGTTTTTAGTTTATTTTCCCCTGAGAATCTGTTTATAGACATTTAAAACTTACTTGATTTTTCAGTTATTAAAATGCAATCATCACCGTTTTCAGTGTTTGGTCTTTTTCTGTCACGAAAAGGAAAATAAAAGCTGTGTTTCTGGAATTGCCTACAGGCATCTCCCTGCATTCAAAAAATGCTACTGAAAGCTCTGCTGGCACGTGTAGCCCAGCTCTGCTCACCTGAAAATAACAGGTGAAGGTCTCCTGAACATCAGCAGACAGACAAGGCAGGGGATGGAGAAAGCAGCACTTGTAATTTCCTTTTTCTTTTGAACTCACTGCAGTAACTCTTAGCAGTTTCGGGGATGCTTAATTTCTTCCTGCTTCTGCAACAGAAGCTCTGTGATCAATGAAAATTGCACACACAGCTGCTCCAGAACCAAACTCCTGGACCAGCATTCACCAGCTATGCATGTGCCTGTTCCTACAGATGTGCAAGTGGCTGCACAAAGGTGAATTTTACAGAACTGACTGTTGAGCCATTACAGCTGAAAATTTTACAATCCAGACTCCCATAGTAGTCATTACTATCTTACCATAATTCCATTGCTTTTTAACAGCCTTACCTAACTCCATTGTTCTGGCACACTGTCAATCAGTTGCCCTTCCCAACACTGTCTGTTCTGTTTTGGGTTTGTTTTTTTAAAATCATGGTTACATTGGCAACTTAAAACAAAAGGTATTTTCTTCAGCTGTGTTATGTACCATCAGGCCTCTGAATTCTAAGCCCTAAGAAATAAGAATCCTAGGAAATATTGCTATGGGAAGAAACAACTTTGCAAACTTAAGCTCCCTATTTATGCAGTTCTCAGTCTCTGTGGGCGGGTCAACACCTGGCTGTGTTACACCCTCCTGCACAAGTCCTAAAAGGAGGCAAATTAGTTGGTTGGTTCGTTTTGAAAAATTCCAGAGCAGCTTTGCAAATACAATCTGTCAGAAGACTGTACAGATCAGATATGTTAGATAGACTTCATATCAATAAATCTGCTTTGTCAGTATGTCAGAAATGTTAGGAGATACTTTGTATTGTCTTGTGCCATTTAGATGGCACAAACTGATGACAAAACTGATCTAATCCAATCTCTCCTTCTCAGAGTCTGCTTAATAATGAAGAAGCTGCCATAGGAGATAAAACAGTGAATACAGATAACGCAACGAAGCCTGAAAATGGGGACAGAGAAAACTCTCCAGGCCAAATGGAAATCTACTGGGACTCTCTAAATGAACCAAAGAGGAGTTTATTCCCCTGTTCTAAGAATTATGAAATCATTCTCAATTAGAAATCCTTCTCAATTCCAAATAAGGATTGTTGTTATTTATTAACACCATCTCTAACCAAGGATATCTCTATGGTTTAAAATGAGAACAAACTGAGCCTCACAACTGTCGTTTTTACAATTCCAGTCTCGCATCTTGTTCCTAGTTATAGCTGTGGATCATTCCTGGCTAAACCAGAAGGAGTACTGGTGTAAAATGAAGGGTGAACACTCTGGAAATCATGTCCTGTCATCTGCTGAGCCCACTCTGCCCCATGTGTCTTTCAGTCATATAATAATTTATTGAACTGTGAACCTATTCACTAAAACATTCTATTACATAACTATAATCTCCTTTCAGTGCAGCTCGAACTAGCACCAGTGGAAGTTTTACCTGCAAATTCTTATGTCACAGTTGGATGCTGATTTTTTACCTTCAGGTAAAAAAGAGTTCTTTTTCATAGAGAGTTCTTAAAATCACAGAACTCAGTCTTTTATAAATTTTTAGGTAATACACATTAGTTTAATGAAATTTGTTAAGAGTTGCCTATTTGGAAAGAATACAGAAAATCCAGTGGAGAGTGAGGGACAATGTATCCTTTCCAAAGCAATTTTAATAAAGTGCGCTTTCTAACCTGGCCAAAATGTCACATCCTAAAATGTATCTTTTTCTAATTATAGATATAAACATAATGAGGTCACTGAGGGCACTAAATGATGCTTAGAACAAACAACAGAAGTACACAAAAGGTCTGAGGGAGATCTGCAGCCAGCGGAGTGTGGAGGCACAGTCACTGTCTGCTATAGACACTGCAGACCAGTTGGATGATTAATTCCATCACAGCCACCAAGAGCTTCACCAGTGGTTTGGGAAGAGATTTTTTCCAATACTTTATAGTATTATTTTTGTGGTGACATTTAATGAAGCACAAATATAAACAGACTTCATAAACATGAATGAATTATGCTGGCGTTGGAAATGTTTTAAGAAGTATTCAAGAGACATGAAATGATTTGGCCCAAAGAAGAGGAGTTCCCAAGAGAATAAAGCACAGGATATCACAGTGTATCAGTGTTAAGAATTTGTAACTTCTCCAAATATGGATAGACGTTCCTTCTTTCTTCTCATTGCCCCCCTATTCAGAATTACAGTTCCAGCCAGAAGGGATTGACTAAAGCAGTGTTTGTGTTTGTGTACCACAGAACAAACCCTTTCACTGCCTCTGTCCTTTATAGTTCCCAAAGCTGCACTTCCCTGGGCAGCAGCTGCAGCTCCCCAAAAGCCACAGCAAGCTCTGCCCTGTGCTGTGCCTTTGCTATCTGACAAAAGTTTTAAATCTCAGACTTTTTCTTCCACTTACAATTTTCAGTAGATTTACTAGAAAACACCTACTGTGACAGGTGATGTCTCTAAGTTGTCCTTCTTCACAATCATTTAGGATAAAATAATATTAATTATAGCTGTTCTCCAGAGGGAAACCAGCGGTAACGAGGCAGGCTAAGGTTCCTGTTTCCTGGTGCCAGGTGCCATGAGGAGCAGCCCTGCAGCGTTTCATCACCAGCCAGCCCCACACTGAATCACAGCATCACTAACGTGAGTAATTGCTTGCCAAAAGTTTCAGTTTCAGAATGTGTCAATGTATAATTTGACTAGGGTGTGTATCTGTGCATGGGTTGGTGGTGGTGGTGCATTCTTATGGCCGTGAATCACACGGCATTTGAGCCACCTACCTCCTGCTTGTGGGGAAGCTGCAATATTCCATTTGGAAAGAAACCTGGACCATCTTTTCAGAAATTGATGGGGCTCTCAGCACACACCTATTTCAACTCCTCAGCCTTCTAGTTAGACCAATAACATCCATGATGTTGCTGGGAAACAATAGTTTCTAATCTAAAAGAGAATTTTCATTTTCCGCTTATAATAAATATTGTAAAATTTAAAAACTGAAACATCAGTTTGGCATTTACACTTTTGAATAGTCCTATTGGTTAGTAAAATGTTGCTGTTTTTAATGGGAGAACAGACTGTCAGTTTACTAAAGCTGGTACAGGTTTGTTAGCTAAACAGATTGGACACTAGGAAAAAAGCATGAATTTTGCCCGTAAGAGGAAGTATTTCTGTTCAGGATTATACTGTTGTTTAGCAGACATGTAAGATTTAAAGCCATTTTCCCAGCTGGCATTGACCAGGCTCCCTGCATACCTCAGCCTGTAGCTACAAACTCCTCTGCAGTGTGACCAACGTCAGCAGTGAAGTCCATCCTCCTGTGGGAGAAGCAGCAGCAGGGTCTGGAGCCAGCTCTGCTCCCGCGGGACCTGCGGAGCACAGCGAGGGTTGGTCACCACGGCACACCCCAGTGCAGTCACACTGCATCACTCCCTTCGGGACAGCCCCCATGGACAGGTCCTACACAGCTCTTCCCATTTCCCACATCTCTAATGGAATGACATGATGAGTAACAGCTTTCTCCAATATTCATGGATCAACTACATACAGATCCATGTCCCATAACGTTGTGTTTGGAATGCTGCAGCACCCGTCAGGCAGAGGCCACACTTCCCTGATGTTTTACAGTATCCTGAACAACAGCTTTGTGCTGTAAAAGCAGAACTTGAAAGAGCTGCTCAGGACTGCAATAGCAAAGCAATACCTATGGGTGAAATAAGTCAGAGGGAAGAAACTCTTCACTTAAAAGAAAATTCCAGAATTCTACGTGTTATATATAAACAATGAAATTATAAAAGCACGAAGAATAACACAAGAATGTCTTTTAGGTTGAGTGCAATAAAAACACCCTTTGATGATTACATAAAAATCTATATACACTCTCTCTAAATACCCTATGTTGATTCTATAGAATGCAAGCAGTGTCACTTAGCATTGCTGGCAGGGCTTTATTATTGCAAGTGGAAAGGAACATAGTGAAAAGAATTTAGAAGAGGGGTGGATAGTGTCAGCAGTAACAACATACATGATTACACATCACTATAATTAGCAGTGGAATTTGAAGAACTTAAAAAGCACCACATTTGCTTTGTTTTCAACTGTGCTTTTGACTCAGCAGCACTGCGAGCGATACACAGGGCAAGAAATGTTTATCTCATCCTTTTCAAAACATAAACTCAAGAGGAGAAATGCTTCTAGTGACCAAGGGTAAAGACCTCAATGTGAAAAGGTCCCTGGAAACCTCTCCAGAAGGCAGTTTAATCTGGGATAACCATGGATTAAGAGTACATCAACATTAGTTTGTGCTCCCCTCTTTTAACACTACAGCCTCCCACTCATGTGCTTTGGCCTACTTCCCCAACTCTGAGGTTATATCTGCTTGTTCTACTTGGATACAAATTTGGGAAGCAACCTTACATCGCTGCCTCTAGCAGTGGTAGTTTCTTTTATTTCACCTGAAGTGTGACTCCTACAGGTTACAGGTGAGAGGACAGGGGATGCTGAGGTATGACAAGGCCTGTGCTAGAGTCCATCCAACTGCTGAACTGCAGCTGTGCAGCACATCTGGGACAGCCAGAAGCAATTCACTGGATCCCAAATACCAGCACGGGCCTTTGCAGCAGTTTTCTATGCAAATCAGGTACTTATGCACAAATTATTCTGGTTAGCTACACGAGCCACGATGACCTAATCTGCATGTTCAGCTGCAGCATTAGCATGAGACCTGTGTGCAGCTTTTGCAGGCAAAAGTGCATGCCCAATTAGATTAAAAGGTGGATCCTTTATTAACTCTGCACTGCTTTATCATCCTTTTTATTAGGAATGTGCATGTTACTGGTCTTCACTGTAACTCAGAAAAACATTTTGAAGATATAAGGAATAATTTGCTGAAACTATTAAATAAAAGCTTTAAAAATAAGTATATTTGTCCTTGAATAAGTTTCTTAATTAAGTTAAGTTTTCTTAATTCTCATACATTTTAAGGTTTTGGGAACAAAAAATATCATCTTGTATGGCAATAAATACCTGCAATTAATACTCTTACATTAAAAACTTGAACAAGCTTAAAATCTTAAAGGTCAAAGTTGTTATGTACAACACCTGGTCTCACAGCCTCACAAAAAAGGGTATTTTTAACATCTTACTGCATGGGGACAGAGAGGGTGAACGTGAGGCCGAGCAGACACTGATTACAGCTTCACAAAAACACAGAACCAGCAGATGAACTGGGACTACCAGGGGAGCCAGGCCCAGGGCAGTCAGGGCCTCGATGAGCACCTCAAGGGTGAGCAACCAGGTTTGTGTCAGAGCCTCACCAGTGAAAACAGAACTGATAAGAGGCTGAAATGCTACTTGTACCTGGACTTTCTACTGCAACAGGTGAAGACTTTGCACAGGGACAAGGTTCCCAACACTGAGATACCTCAGAGACAGGATTTATCTTTTCTTTTTAATGCTGTTAAGAATGTCGGGTAGAGAGGGACACACAGATTGCCCTCTTCCTTATGTTCATAATGTAGAGGAAGAGCTACATGAGTACTGGAAGTAGGATTGCTAAAACTTTTGCACCTATATAAAAAATAACGTGGACAATTTGCAGTTCTAGAGCCAGGTCTTGCTTGAGCCACAGAAAAGTTACTATTCACTAGTGAACAAAAAGAAGAAAATAATCCTAATTTCTTGTGATTTATCCGAGTGACAGGGTTAGTGACACAGGTAGACATGCCCATTGACTCATTAAATTGAACAACAAGGCACAGCTAGAAGTTAATTTTCTTTTGGTACGTGCTTAGGCACCTTGTAATAACAGTATTTGTGTCACCAGAATTCAGTCCCAAACTAAAACTGCGCTGCTCTTTCAGTTCAAATCTGTGGAGGCATTTTTGTGCAACTTTTTCTCTTGCAGAGGTCTGTGTCTTTTGTAGGTCGGGCACCGCGGCGGATGTGAAACGCGTACACAAGTTGGTTGCAGTGGAGCAGTCGCTGCGGGTGCTTTGCTACACAAATATGTACACGCGTAGAATATTAATGACATCTTTCATTCAGAGGCAGCATATGAATTATCAATGACTCCAGTTTCCGTGTTTAGCAGGAAGCGTGCGGCAAGGGTTGATGGAACGTTCGGAATCGTAATCTCGGCTGTAGTAGCTAACTCTGTGTGTGCCACCCCAGATGGCAAAAGCTCCCCCAAAGAAGCCTGGCTCGCACTGCAGAGGGGCTGTGCAAGCTGCAAATACTGACTTTGGGAACATCCTGAAGAAAAATCTGAAGTTGGAATCAGAAGGAGCTGTGCAATTTGGGTCTGCACCTCCCTGCCAAGGTGCAGGGTCCGTGTTCGCTGTTATGGAGGTTCTTGGTGGCAATCAAGGAAATGACCAAGAAAAATGGGCCCTGGGACTCCTCGCAGTTCAGCTGTGCTGGCACCTGGGGTTTTTTCCATCCCAGTATGAAGCAATGAT